CGGGGGCTCGCTGCCCTCCGCGGCCTCGCTGCGCGGCCCCCAGCGCCTTCCCCCTTCCTCACACGGCTCAAGGGTATCTTGTCTTCTAGCCTTGTTCTCGGAGCGGCACTTCAGCGCGTTCTCCCCTCTTGGTGGCCAAAGCCGCCTTCCCTCGCTCGTCGCCAGCGTTTCTCCCCTTTCCTTAGGCTCGCTCTCTTCGTTTCCCCTTCCCTAGGCGCTGTGTTCAGCGGTGCTCGGCGCAGTGCCCGACCACCCTCCCTCGCAGGAGGGTTCTTAGGGAGTTATTGCAGCTTTTCTCCTAAAACAAACAAACGAACAGACAAACGAAAAAAGAGCGTTCATGGGTTCCTTGCACTGGTTGTGTTCACTAACTGGTTCTCTTAGTTTATCAGAGTTTGTCCTCTTGAAGTTTAGAGCTTTAACCACTGAGTCACCTTTCTCATCCAAATCAACTCCTGGTTCCTGGGAGACCAATGTTATTTTCTGTAACAACTTAAGAATGAATCGACGTGCTATAGAGAACTAGTAGTACTGTTAAGAGTCAGTTTGCTCATTATTGCAATAGAAGACATGATCTCCCATACAGTTATAAAATATTAAAGAAACCCTAACAAGTTGGTGAGTTATTTATGAATGCTTCCTGGCTGTGATCCCTGCAAGGGGAGGAGGAATGAAGTGTTTGCGTTTCTTAGCCGTGCTGAAATCAACATTGTATGGATTTGCATTGGGAAACAATTGTTTAATAAATTAGATTAAGTCCCCTCTTAAATTAAAGATAATTTGAGCTGCTTTTATTTAAGCAGCTCAGTCCAATGTTAAGCTATATTTTTACATTATAGTATTTCCTTTACTCCTTGGTTCCTGTAGAAAATTAGTGGCAAAGTGTATTTAAGCGCTGCTAATATCCTGCTAAGAAGATACACCACTCTGATTTTATTTAATTTCTTGATGTAAATCAAAATAGTGAGAAAAAACTATTTTACCAAAAGAAAAAAGGCACATTAAACTTTCAATAGCATATTTAAGATCTGCTATGTAAACGTATAGGAGCTACTTGATTTGCTGTTAGAAGACATAATTTATGGCCTTTATAACTTATCTCTTTTTGCGAGGGGTTTTCTAGTTGAAGAGGATTGTAACGTAAGTTATAGTACTGTAAAGTTAACAAAGTTGGGTATCAACAAGTGTTTGAAAGTTTAAATAACAAAGCAGGGGGGGAAACGTTCCTTCTTGAAATACATTTGTTTGGTTTCAGAACCTGTTCTTCTGTTCCTAATTTCCAGTTTTCTCTCTTCTGAAAGCTGTTTGTAACTGTAGAAAAGTAAATACTGGCAAACATCCAAAATAACTATAGAAGGATTTCCTGCTATTGGAGGATGTTCTTAAGGATCTGAAACACCTTTGCACAGTTAGGACAGTTGGAATTTCGGGAGGTTTTAGGGCTCCAACCAGTCTTGGCTCCTGCTGACGTGGATTGGGATGGTGGCTCTCAGCTTTTCTGAAAGACTGCGCTCTGATGGACTTGTCTGTTTCTCTATAGTAGTTATAAGAGAATCAATTCTTGACTTCACAATTAGGGTCCTGCCTACTGAATTTTTACTTATGGAAATCTAATTGAAATCTCAATTCCATTATCAGTGACTACTCATCCTGACTCTGTTTTTTTAATCCAGATATATTTTTTGGAGGGTATATGTGGAAATTGAAAAAGATAGGTCAAGTCTTCAAATATCTGAAACGCTGATCGTTCTTTCTATGTCAGACTAACATTCTCAGGCAATGAATATTTTACTAAGTGAGTAATTTTCCAGATATATAAGGATTTACTACTTTTTTTTTTTTAAGTATTTTCTTTTTTCCTATTACTCATGTTCTCAGCAATAGAGAAAACATCCTTTAATTGTCCGTGAATCAAAAAGTAGTATGCTAATTGAAACGATATAACACAATTTGATTTCTTGAACTCGTTTTGCAATATAAACTAATAAACAGTCTCTAGTTATATTTGAACAAGATTACCCTGAAGTTCCTTTTCCCCTATTTTTCCAGCTGAAAAATATTGTTGTGGCTAATAATGCCTATTTAGCAGAGCCTTTCTAGAACAGCCTTTTGTTTTAGCTTAACTTTTTCATTAAGAAGTGTTTGAAAGAATATGAATGTCTTGAATGAGTTCTAGCGCTGTTAAGCCTTTAATTTTCTCTGAATACCTGGCAGAAAAATCTGACAGTTCCTGTGCCACGGTGGTGGTGCCCAGTGCAAACAATAATGATATTTGGTTTTGCTTCTACATGAGTTCTGAATTCTTATGTATTCGGATACTTCAGTGCGTTTGTCTGGATATATAGTTCAGTTGGAGATTGGCGTGTGCTTTGTCAGAATGTCAGATATCTGTACGTTCAGTTTCAGTTCTTACGCTACATGGCATTTAGATAAGTATGTATTTGTGTTTTTTGAGTGTAACTGAAGAAATGTATTAGGTATTTCTGAATATATTGGTATGCTGGCTGTTAGTTTATTGTTGCACAGGTTTATAAAATGCCCATTATAGTTATTATTTATTTTTTAAACTAAAATAAGATTTTTGAAAATTGATGCTGTGGACTGAGTTACTGTAGTTGAGCTGAATATAATTATTTTAGTAAGTTATTTAACCAAAGTTTGGATTTTCATGAGCAGCTTCCGATTGAGGATCTGTGCAGTCTGACGTCGCAGTCGCTAACTGTTACGCTGACAGCTGCGGTGCCAGAATCCACAGAGGATGTTCTCATGAAAGGATTTGCCATACTGGGGATGGAGGATGAAAGAATTGAAACAGCACAGCAGGTAAGCAGGATGAAAGAATTGAAACAGCACAGCAAGTAAATTGTGCTGAATTTCCTCAAAGTTACTGGAATCTTTTTCAAAGAATTGGAATTTATGGGTCTCATGCGTAGCTTGTGGTGGTTAAATTATTTTATCGGTATTCAAGGTATACGAAGAAACTTGAAACAAAATAGTTGAAGTCTTAGCTTTTTAGTAGCAGATGCTTTCCCCTTTTTGAGTGGAGTCTTATGTGATGGTAAGGCATCACTGCAGTAAGGTGATGTTGCTGATAATAGACGAAATATCAGTCCCCCTTCCCCTCCCCCCCGATTGCTAATGTGGCAGCCTTGTTCTTATGCGAATAAGAACAGATGAAATTCAGTCTTTCCTTTTTTAGCTTTTAGTGTTGGAGTTACTCTTCTGCTTTCTTGGTTAGTAATTAAGTTCTTAAACCTCACTATCTTTATCAAGAGAAATAATGCAGTTTATCTTCTGAATTCCTGTTTCATAGATCTGTTATTTTTTCCTAATTTATTGTACATAAGATCTGTGATGTTGACACCGTAAAATCTCTTCTAGTTCTTCTCCTGGTTTGCTCAACTACAGACGCAGATGGATCAAGATGAAGGTGCAAAGTACAGGTATGTGTTCTGCCTCGTTTTCTTTCACTGTAAACAATTTGAACCTTGAAGACCTTCATCTTGTCCATATAACGTTAGCACACGTTCAAATTAAACTATCGGGAAATGTATTGGAACAGCTGAAGTATTTTCTTCCTACAGCTGTACGTCCCATCCTGAAGGCTGTTGGACTTGTGGCAGGACAGTTAAAAGGAGCACAGCTTTCTTTCGGAACTGCCCAATGCTACCTTAAGACAAATTGAAATTAGTTTTGAGTTACAGGCTGGGCTGTAGACAAAGGCAGTTTAAGGGCTATCGCATGCCTTTTCAACAGCCGCTATTGAAATGGCATCCTGTGACGGAGAGACTGGGTAAACAGGTGCGGCTGGGAATAATTTCCGCTGCCACAGTTTAGTTCACCGGTGGCTGTGTCTGTGAGTCTGTATTCACGTTTCCAGTGTTCTTTGACATGTTGCTCAACTTCGCTTTTGAGGCACGGCATTCTCATCTATTTCTGTCTAACTAACTCTTCCACTAGGCCCGGAAGAATGCCTTTCCACTGACTTTCGCAGTTGCTTCTCAAGAGTCTTATCTGAAGCGTGGCTGAATGGCTCAGCTGAATTTGCTAATGGCTTTTATGAAAAATGGCCTGTATTTTGAAACTTTAAGAACTTGTCCTTGGCTACAAAGAGACCCTGCTGTATTCCTCTGTCCTGTTTTTGTGGTTTAACGTGCTCTCTCTTTTCCTCTCTTATTTTGACGCTTGAGCACATGGCATTTCCTAAAAGCGGAGATTTAAGCTTATGCTGAGTTTAGATCATTAACAACCTAAATAAAAAAGGGCACCTGTACACTTGGCAGTTGAGCCATTTGTAGTGCACATAGATACTTTGGTGTATCGTGGGTGCAGAGTGGCTCCCCGGGGGGCCGTTCTGTAATTAGCTGCAGGGGGCCAGAGGAGCAGGAGGACAATGAGTTAATTCTCTGCCAACTGTGCACTAACGGTCTGTATAAGACAGTTGTGGTTTTACATACTGCTTTGTACATGGCAAGGTAGAACACGGTCGTTTCACCTGACATCCAGGAGTAATTCGTTTCAAATTACTTCTTATTTAAATATAATGCTTGGCAAATATTTAATAATCAATTAGAGTTTATATCTGCATTGAGCTTTAGACAGACTTGGTGACATCAGATACTGAATCTGTTTGATCTAAGCCTCTTTCAATCCTCATGACAGCTTTTGAACCCTCTGGTTAATTGTAGCTATTTTAGGAGAGCAGAAATCATTTGTAAGTGAAAATTGAAAGTTGTGTAGAAGAAGAAACCCAAATTAACACCCCTATTGAAAGCGAGGCAGGTAGAATTTAGCTGGTAGCAGTAGGCTGCAGTAGTCAGCATGTTTGTGCTGTCCAGTTAGACACTGTGTGCGCTCGTGTCTAGACTAGCTACAGTGCGTGCTGCTTGCTTCTGGGTAGACTTGCTGTAAGGATGTCAGGGAACTGGAGTTACTACAGTGGCTCTTCCAAATCCTATGGCTTTATTTTTGCAGGTCTGGAGAGGTCTGCTTATTGCGCACACTCGCTTCGTGCAAGTGATCTTTTTTTCCCTAGAGAGTTGGTTTCTGCCAGGGAAAGGTAGTGCCAGTGTCACTGTAGGCCATTGAATTTGCAAATACAGAATGTGAAATTTTACTTTTGTTGTCTTTTGGTTCTCTTTCTCTAGACAGATGAGGGATTACTTGTCTGGGTTTCAGGAGCAGTGCGATGCTATACTGAATGATGTGAATAGCGCCCTCCAGCATCTGGAGTCATTGCAGAAGCAGTATCTTTTTGTGTCCACAAAGACAGGAACGCTACACGAAGCCTGTGAACAACTTTTGAAAGAGCAGGTAATCTTTACTGGGAGGGTTACTGGGAGCTTCTCAGGTACCATAAAGTAAAATTCCTTTTTCTTAGGCTGAGGAAACCTGTGAGTTGTGGTGACAGTCCCTCCTTTGCGCTAGACTGCCTTTTCAGTTTGTTTCACCTCCGGCTGGAGGGTCAGGCTCTGTGCATGAATTGTTCAGTACGTGCTGGTTTACACTTCAGTCAAGAAGGTAGCTAGCTGATGTTGGCTTCTGTAACTGATGCCTGACAAGCACAAACTGTATTGAGATTAGTAATTCATATTGCTTGCACTGTTTTTTGCAAGGGGAAAGATTTTTATGTTACCAGCTTATCTCCTAGGTATTTTCTTTTTCCTTATGAGGTGTTCCAACAGTAGTATAATGAAGATGCCTGTTTAGGTCTCAAAATATTGGTAACATAAGGCTGTTGAAGCATGATCCAGCATACATAAAAATCTTGAGCTTTTGAGAGCTTTTCGTCATAAATGATCCTGCTCCAAAACCAATCTTAATTGTTGCTTTTCCGTGTGCGGGGCGGAGAATCGTAGAACTTTATCTTTGCTCTTACTCATGAACTGTTTAATCATTTTAAATATGGGAAGAATGCACTCAGTAAATAGCAGAGACATTGCATGCTTAATAGGTAGGAATTAACCTGTTAACAAATCATAGCGAAATCTGAACAAGTCTATGTTTTTAAAAAATAAATAACGTGTAACAGAGTGATGCTAGAGAATATGCTTTTGTTGTCTTTTTGGACAATGGAGATGAGCAAATTTTTGTTAGTATGTGCTGCCTTCATCCTCAGCTATGTGGTAACTATCCGTCTTCTTGGAAATAGAAACAGTTTTCTAGGTGAACGGATAGAAGAAAGGCCTTAAACTCCTAAGTCATAATCAGAAACACTAGCTACAACGTTGAAATCGGTTGTAAAGTCCTCTCTTTTGTAGGCTGTCAGACATTTTTGTTAGGAAAAAAATAATCTACAGACCAAAATATAATCCCAACAGCTTTTGACCATCCTCAGTGTTTGTTCTGCATGCTTCTTGACCCTCTGCAGGGTCTGCTGGATGCAGCAGGTTTTCAGGAGTGCTGTTTTGATGCACAGAGAAACAGGGTTTGCAAGTAAATTAAAGTCTTCAAAGTCACTGTCTCTGAAAATCTGCATGGACTTTTTTTGCGTTTTTATGGGAGGTACTCAAAACTGGTTGAGGGAGAATTTTTAAAGGCTCCAATACTGAAATACAGGATTTCATCAGTTTTTTGTAGTGGTGACAAGCCTGCTATTTGTGTGCAACAGTACCTGTGGAATGCTGAAAAACATATAGAATATACATCTTTAAAGACACCGTGCAGAGTAATATGTCTTTCTCTGATGAGAGAGACTACTACTACGTTCTGCCATTTTTTTTGGTACTTATTTAGATGCAGGTTATTTAGAGTTAGTTAACACTGATGTGTGCTGAGAGCTTTTTGTCTCGGCTTTGGGGTCCCTCTCCCCAAAATCCCTCTGGCTGAAGACTTTATTTTAAAATTTGAAACTACTTGCTGATTTTTTGTCTCGACTTTGGGGTCCCTCTCCCCAAAATCGCTCTGGCTGAAGACTGTATTTTAAAATTTGAAACTACTTGCTG